ACTGCCAGTGTCCCTGTCCAGTTAGACCTTAACTTTTTTACCAGCCTTAACAATAGAAGGAGAAAAATCTGGGGCAATGGCTTTATGCAATTCATCATCATATACACAAAACCACCCTCAAATAACTGATATTTTGTCATCAGGTCAAGCCACACATTCAAAATCCACAACTCTAATAACGCTGACATAATACCTGGATAAAGACCTATGCTGATAAAAATATAGAATGAACCCTATCACCAGTAAGAAATACAAGTTTTTATGCTTTTATTGTTATCATAGCAGTCTAAAGTGAAGTTAAGTGCTTCAAAAGAAGGCTGATCTGAGAACTACAAACTATTATTCAACCATCAACAAATACTGGCTGAATCCCTTCTAGGTACCAGTTTCCCCACTAGGTATAAGGAAACAGAAAAAAATAAACATAATCTTTGCCCTCAAAATTCCAGGCTAACAGCAAGAGAAAAACAAAACAAGAAAACAGAAAATTACAGGATCACCTGAGCTAGCATTTGGACCACAAATGGGAGAGAATTTCTCAAGTACCTTAAGTTCACTAGTTAGCCAGCAATCTGTAGGAAACTGAACCAGGGCTTTCACTTGAGGCAAGTCACTGGTTCAGAGGACCAAAGCAGCAGAGGTCCATCTTTGGTGCATCTTAAGAATCCCAGCTGGGCCAAACAGTGCTGCTTTTCTGGCCTGGTCCTTTCTAGTAAGCTTTTGCTCCTGTCTCAACTTCCTTCACCTGTGTACTTAACGGGCGCCTGTTTCGCTGACTCAGCCTCAACACTGTACACTGCTGGAGAAGTGCCCTATTATCTCAAAAATAGGTTCATCACTTTCCAGTTGGGAAAGGGAGAAAGTCCCCTTATTTCCCAGATGGTTTTTGATGACTCAGATTTTGCTTTAGCTCAGGATTATCCTATCTCAATACTGAACATGGAGACGCAAAGGACAGTTTCATGGCCGCTGACCTGAAGGAGCTCCATCTCTCATAGGCAAGTGGAGGAGATATCCCTGAAAAGAGCCATCAAACATGGGGCAGGTGTGTCCAGTGGAGAACAGGAACAAACTGAATGAGGAAGCCACTGAAGTCTCTGCTGCCAGACACCAGCAGGGAGGGGAAGCTGACAGCAAGCAGGAATACACTATGTTCCAAGGACAGTGAGCAGCCAAGAATGGATGAGGTGGACCTATATTCTCCAGGTTTAATATTCATCCCCCTGGGCTTGCACATGATGGAGATGTATGAACACATTCTCCATTCTATTAATAGTGCAGCCATTTTCTTGTGTTTTAGAGAGAACTATAGCCAGCACATTACAACCAGGATTTCACAGACACAAACTGTACTTTAAAAATACATTTAAATTAAGAAGTGGGGCTGGGGATTTAGCTCAGTGGTGCCACTGCCTGCCTCACAAGCACTAGGACCTGAGCTCGATCCCCAGTACCAAAAAAATAAAAAAGAAGTGAAGTGGTTGTGGGAAAGAGCAGGAAGGGACAGACTGGAAAGGAACACTTAAAAGGTAAAAGAAATGCTCTATATCTTGATTTGGATGAGAGTGACCTCGTAATTACAAAAGCCAAAGCCCTTGGACAGTATACCTAAGATCCATGCATTTTATCACACAAATTATATACTTCAACTTATTAAAGAGTTACAGAATATTTTCAAGAAAAGTAACAGTACAGGTGGCACCTGGATATGGCAGAGAAATATGCACTGTGCAAACGACAAATTCAAGAACCAATACTAGATTAGCTCTACCCAATAAATTTTCTAGTAGTCACACTGCCATTTCAATGTGATCAATATATATATTCATTCATTCATTCATTTTGATGTGCTGAGACTCAAGCTCAGGGCCTCATGCATGTTAGGCAAGCAGGCTATCGCTGGGCTATACTCAAGCCCAATATAAAACCCCTGAGATATTAAAAATTTTTAATTAATGTTTTGAAATCTGGCATATATTTTCTACCCACAGCCCTTTTCAGCAGACTAGCCACGTTTCAAGCATTTGATAGCCTCATGTGGGTAGTGGATATGGTATTGGACCTGGGTGCTATAGACAATGAGGAAACACTAAAGGTTTTTAAGTAAAGAGTGAGCTTCATTCCATAAATACCACAGTTACTTTTGATGCATAAATCTAGTAGAAACCCAGCAATATCCACAGCACAAATGTGCAGATTTAGAAAAAAAGAAAAGAAAAAAGGACTTTGGGCACCCTCTAATGTTTTCTTTGTTTTAAGAAGAAAGCTGAGAGTTTGTTTCATGAGTTTGACTCTAAAAATGAATGCTTGGCAATTTACAATTACGATACCCTAAAAGTGGCCCCTGCAAATGCACCAGGGACATGAAATGGTGTTCTGGGTCTCTGTCTAAGATATATCCAGAGTGTTTTCCCATACCAAAAAGGAAAAAAGACGACTTAGCCACCTCATCCTGCAGGCTCTATTTAGTCAAGGGGGAAAAGTTATGGAGGCTTCTTGCCACAGAAAACAAAATTAAAAGTTTAGAAATTTGAGACCAAGATATCCATGTTTCCATGAGTTCTATGCAAATGCAGAGCTAGAAATGACACCACAGACTACTTCTCTTTCACAACAAAGAAGTCACCGACACAGACAGAGTCCTCCCAACTTTCTAGGCAGTCTTAGCCTTCCACCAACACCGAGTCACTGCAGTCATCAAAAGCAGTGTGGCCAGCAGTTGAGTGCTTGTTCTTCTTTTAAGCACCTCTTACCATGAATTTAGATTTTTAAAATACTATCTACTGACATATGTGTTATATTTTTATTTGCCTCTGCTCACTTTTAAATTCACCCACTAGAGCAGATACTACTTTCACCTTAATAGTGATTTTCACTGATTATCAGTGTGTCAAGTTTCAAAGCTTAACAAAAACCCAAAATGGTAAATTTATATATAATCAATCTGAAATGAGAATTGATTCAACCTATTTCAAATTATCATAGGTAATGCAGAATATCAAGTGCTCTGAGATTAATTAATCTACGAAACACCTTCCCCAGACTGATATCAGAAGTTACATTGATGTTGACATTTCCCTTTCCTCTCCCACATACCATCAATATTAAAATCGTAGCCTTTGAACCATTCTAAATCCAAACTCTTAATGTAAAATTACTTTAATAGAGTGGTAAGTCACTATTAATATACCTCATACTTTCAACTCTTTTTGCAATTCGCATTTTTCTTTAACATATGGAGGCCCCAATCAATCGGAAATAGACAAAGCTTTTAAGAAAATTTGCGAAGATTAATGCAGTTTAAAAAGGGGCTTGACATTAAAAATCCTCTGGTTAGAGGGCCAGGGGTTTAGCTCAGTGGTTCCAAGTGCCTGCCTTGCAAGCACAAGGACGCAAGTTTGCTCCTCAGTACCAAAAAAAAAAAAAAAAGTCCTCCAGTTAGAAGACTAGGAAAGGTTTTTTCTTTGTAAGTGACCTAGTATATATTATTTTTTTCTCTATGTATTTAAGAACCCCAAATAATGCTGATATGGGAATAAGTTTTCCCCCTGAGAAATGAGAATAAAATCCTCATTTCATTTATAGTTTTATTCTTGGCCCTGTTTATTACTTTTAATTAGAGCATGGCTATCATTTTTAGAAAACATCTACCTAAATTCTATACCTTTTAATTATGCAGATGTCTAAGAAAGGGAAGAATTCTAGCCTGCTGACCAAGTCCCTTATCTGTGCTGGCAAGTACTAAGTCACAGTGGTTTCTGGCAGAATATCCGTCCTGGCTGAACAGCATCCACACCCCACATTCTCCAGCCTTCACAACACTTGGCCACATCAGCTTCACAGCTCCTATGACACTCAGTGCTCCAATGACAAGGAGACGGTAAAAGAACAAAATGTCTTTAATATGTGATCTTCACCAGAGAAGATGAGACATAAAGCACTATCTAAAGTAATGTCCATTGGTTCCTAAACAAAATACTGAAAACTCAGAAATGACAGAAACCGATATATTAAGAAATGAGCCAGGGATTTAGCTCAGTGGTGCTACGCCCGCCTTGCAAGCACCAAGGTCCTGAGTTCAATCCCCAGTACCAAAAAAAAAAAAAGAAGTAAACCACTCAAACTGCATACTAATAACTGAAAAGAAATTATATTCCCTATCAAAAAATTTGTCATCCAAACACCAAGGGTACATGATGAAGGCTGTCTCTAGGACATAAGTGGTTGGATGTACTGGTTTAGGGGCACAGAGGAAGTGTAGTGAAGAAAAATGTAGTGCCATGAGCATCCAAGTATACTAACACTGCTGCACAAGTGGCAATGAAGATCTGTGGATGTTAGTGGAGGGGGTTTCTTGGGCGATAGGAGGTTGCTCAACTGGGGGTAAGGGAGGTCAGCCTATCATTAAAACAGACTTTCAAAATACCACCACCTCTCTAATCACTAAAGAAAATATAGTAAAAGAATCTCTTATAAATATACTTGAGACACTAGGTCCATTCCACCCTGAGAAAACTCTAGGCACATATGACCTTGTCCTCATCTTCTACAACATGCTAAACAATCTACAAGGATTTTTTTAAACTGCCCCATTTTCAGGCCAGGTCTGTATGACATGCAAAGTCACACACAGTTGATGTTTTTTTAGTGCGAAACAGAAAACCCTGTCATTTTGAGGTATCATTACAAGAAATCTTAGTATACAAGGAAACATTCTGCACTGCAGCAGCATTTATAGCTAAGAGTCCTAAACAGCTTAATGCCCAGAGCAAAAAGCAGAACAGAGTCAGCTCCACAGTTCGAAGGAGGGCACAATGGGGCTACTATGAAAGGATGCTTTCCAAGCAGCCATTCTCTTCAACAAACACACTGTCTGTGCCAAAGAACATTCCAACTAACGACAAGTGTTGTGCAAGCTCTGGAGGAACTGACAATTTTTAAATGTTCGATACACAATTGGAAAAATATCTGAAAGGATAAAACTGCAGGGACCTACTTACCTCCATATCTGGCCTAAATTTATCTTCAAATACAGCCATTGCTGCCAAGGAGCCAGAACCTGTAAGAAAAAAGATGCGCTTTTAGTGTATTTTACCAATTCCCAGCTTCTCCATCTCAGGTTCACCTCAGGACAGAAAAAACAGCAAAACACGCCCAGTGTCACATTCAAGTACAGTGTAAATATTAATCCCATAGGGCCACACCAACCAAGTAAAAAAAAAAAAGAGTATTTCTCAAAAGCCTAGAGTCACACTTACCACTAGTTTGAGTAAATCTGGAACTAGCCCTACTTCTGTCACAGACAAGTTTAACTGTAAATTATTCACAATGAAATGCAGAAGCACAAAAATAAGGTTATGGAGAATTTGTATTTTTTTCAGAAAGTGAATGCCACCTAATTTCACATATCCTATGCTGTGAGGCTTGGGCTCCATATAGTACTTTGGCAGGCTGCTGGGCAAGTGCTAAATACCAAGCCAGTTAGGAAGAATACATTGTTTTAATGAGCTGGCCCTGGTAGAGTCACCTTGACACACAGGGAAGAAACTACCGCACCAGCAATGGTAATAGGACTGCAAGCTGTAGCCACCAGATTATCCCAGCTACAACTATAAAACACTTTATGTGGCATTTATTTGGAGCTATTATTTTTAGTTTATACTTTGAAGAGTAACAGCTGAGTAGACAAAATGACAGACAAAGAAACAAAAATTTATTATCACAATAGCAAATGGCTGAAAGGTTATGCTCATAGATATTAACAGATAGCAAATCTATCCCTACCAAAGTAGACATAAAGGCATTTCAGTACGGGCTCCCTCTGAATGGATGCAAAAGGCAGCTCAGCACTATTTGAAAATTTAAACTTGCTTTGTTCAGAAACCAGAGAATCTTTAGAAAATCATCATCTTGTCTGTACAGGATCCTGGCAATATTTCAAGATACTCTACTTTTGGAAAGAGGATAGAGTTGCCCACAATTTTTTACTCCAATTAGAAGATTTTTTTGGCATTTATTACTTTTTAACTTGTTTTGCATAACACTATCTATTTAGCTGGGTCAGAGAGAAAACCATATTTTCTATTTAAAATGATTTGTGTACATCGCTTGACCACCTCAATGGTTTAGCAAAGGAAAAAGGCAGCGATTAAACAGTTTCAAATGAGGTGTCCTGCTGATTTTATCAAGTCTGCTGAATGTATAATGAAAAAGGGGAAGCTGACAGCAACACTGCATTGAGGAAATACAGACTACCTTATCTGAACCATTTAAGGAGGTCCAATTATAGATCAAATTTAAAGGGTAGAAACAGCAGATTTACAGACACAAATCAATGAACATGGTAATCCCAATGAATATGACAGATATTCCTGTTATGGAATATTGCTGCAGTTGAGGATCATTACCTTCACGGCACTGGATACATCACATCTAAAGCAGTAGGAAGCGTCAAGTGTAGACCAGCATTACAAGCAATGACTATTCATTTAAGCTTTGGGAGCAAAAGGCAACCCCATCCCCCCCCTCACAATTTTTTTTCCTTTGAAAAGAACTGAAATGGAGATGTAAAGGGCTATTAAAAGTCCCTTTGGAAAGGAAATAAAAATTAAGCAGATAAAACATCAGTGTATCCAGAAAAAAAAAAAAAAAAGGCACATACGCAAAAACAAATTCACCAAATCAAACCTCTGAATTTCAAAGTAAACAAGTCCTTAAAAAATTCTACTGCATTTTAGGCGTTACCACCAGGTCACCCTGATATTCAGAGGTCAAAAGGGAAAAGTATGAAATCTAAGTTGCTGTCTAAGGCTCAGGTAAGAACCAGTCTCACTAGTAAAAAAAAAAAATTTAAACCTGCTTGTGTGTGGAAAACAAAGGACAGCCGTCAAGAAGAAACAAGAAAACTGCAAATGAGGAAATCTCAGAAAAAAATATTTGTAGATACAAAATACTCCTGTAGGGTGGCCAACAGTACACTCAATTTATCCAGAGTGGCCCAGGATTACCTTCCTTAAGAGCCCAAGGGTAAAAGGACCAGAGCACTGAAATCAACATTTAAAAAGGATAGAAAGCCAATATTTTCCTAAGAGCTAACAACTTTGTGGAGAACTGTAATCCTCATTCACAATATCGGTGGGCCAGGCATGGTGGCGCACACCTGTAATCCCAGCGCTCGGAGGACCTCTGAATTAAAGTAAACAAGTCCTTAAAAAATTCTACTGCATTTTAGGCGTTACCACCAGGTCACCCTGATATTCAGAGGTCAAAAGGGAAAAGTATGAAATCTAAGTTGCTGTCTAAGGCTCAGGTAAGAACCAGTCTCACTAGTAAAAAAAAAAAATTTAAACCTGCTTGTGTGTGGAAAACAAAGGACAGCCGTCAAGAAGAAACAAGAAAACTGCAAATGAGGAAATCTCAGAAAAAAATATTTGTAGATACAAAATACTCCTGTAGGGTGGCCAACAGTACACTCAATTTATCCAGAGTGGCCCAGGATTACCTTCCTTAAGAGCCCAAGGGTAAAAGGACCAGAGCACTGAAATCAACATTTAAAAAGGATAGAAAGCCAATATTTTCCTAAGAGCTAACAACTTTGTGGAGAACTGTAATCCTCATTCACAATATCGGTGGGCCAGGCATGGTGGCGCACACCTGTAATCCCAGCGCTCGGAGGCTGAGGCAGAAGGTTCACTGTGAGTGTGAGACCAGCCTAGGCTACACAGTGAGTTTCAGGTCAGTCTCAAATACATCGTGAGACCCTGTCTCAAATAAAAAGGTAATTTCTATTTCACTTGCAAATTAGCTCCTGCTCCAAGCTTTCTAGGAAAGAGAACTCTGGCGCCCACTTTTCAGAAGGACAGAGAAGTGCTAAGAACTAGGCACACAAGTGACTATCAACAGGTAACTGAATGCCTCTGCTGCCTAAAAAGAGGTGAGAATTCATACAGCACTGCCATGGCCCAAAGCAGTGAGAACATGAGTGAATCCTCACATAACTGCAGGGCAATGCAATAAGGAAGCAAGGGAAAAAGAGTTGGCCATTAAAAAAAAAAAAAAAAAAAAAAGTAAATTCAATTCAGTAAGACCAGTACTCTCTAATAATTTCATTGAAGTTTCCTAGTTTCCTCCAATGCCCAAAACTATATACAATAAACCATCAGACAAATGCTGTACAGGTATAACCGCCAAGTGGCCCATAGAAAGAACATTCAAATATTACATCTCAGCTTCCCCATAAACCATAAATGAGGCCCTGAGCCATCCTTACCTCGGTGTCATGCTCTCTAACCAAGCGTTTTCTTCAGACCCAATGCCCAAAAAAAGCTCTTTGGAAGGACCCTTTCCTCTTTTCTATTTCAAAGACAAGGATACATTAGACAAGGATACCTAGCTTCCTATTAAGGAAGGAGCACACAGAAGGCCAGCAGGCAGTGGGCTGGTACAGGACCACTACCTCTGCGGCAAGCAGGTTAGGTGAGGAACGGGCTGCCACCACTGTAAAGTGATCTCCACAGAGGCAGGCCAGACTCACCTGTGCTCAAAGAACTCACAGTTCAAGAGGGAGAAGACAGCACCTGGGGCCACCTGTGTGTTATGTCATTTAGCTATCCTCACAGCAACCCACTGAAGTGACAGCCATCCTGTCTAGGGTTACAGGACTAAAGAGCATAGGGCAGGACTCCTGCCTCAGCTGTGACCTATGTCATTCTCTCATATAAGAAGTTCTATATGCCAAAACACAGCTCAGAAAAGGCACACATGACCTTCCATGACCAGTCCTGCTTCCCTCAGCCCAGACCCCTCCCCAGTACACACACCTAATACTCCATCAATACTGACAATCATTTCCTAAGTGCCCAAGCCATTTCAAGCCTTCTCATCTCAGCATGTGGTGGTTCCACTGCTCCCTTAACAGCCCACAGAAGTCCTAGCCACCCTTTAAATCCCATTGAGACATCACTCCTCCCAGAAGCCTTATTTGATCCCCAGCCACCCCACAAGCTTATGAACTTTCAACCCTGCAACCTACCCACCCTTTCACAGCAGCCCAACACCAAGCAGACTGCGGCACACCATGAGTGCAAAAGAGGCACAGGTGAAAGCAAGCTCTGCTGAGCTGAGAACACAACTGTCTGATGGAGGAGCCAGGAAAACTCCAAGGAGTGAAAACAGCAGTAAACACCTTGATAAACTGCAGAATATTTATTCTGCAGCAGGACTGCAAGTCCCACCTGGGCAACTTAGCAACGTAGTGAGAGCCCATCTCAAAATGAAAAAGGGCTGGGGGTGTAGCTCAGTGCAAAGGCTCTGGGTTCAACAACCCAGTGGTTGAAAAAAAAAAAAAAGCTCAATGCACCACACTGGGCTAAATAAAAGACAAGCTCAGATGTATTCAAGTTCAGTTTTTAAAAAGCAAAAAGGGGTTTAAAGGCACACATTCATGTTCTATTTATTCTACGTCCTCACCCAGGGCAAACCACTGCCCCATCACAGGAATAAGCTACCTTGCTTAAGATTTCCACATCCTCCTAATAGAGCTCCTATCTCCTCAGGAGTCTCCCTGCAACTGCTTCTTGGCAACCTCCACAGCCTGCCTTTTTCAGCCCACCCACAGGTACTGAGTAGCTTAGTGTTGCTTGCAGAACAAAGCCCTTTAAGACAGGGGACTACATGCAAAGCCGCTGTGACAGCTACCTAGTCACACACCACCTTACCAGTCCTCCCCCAGTTCACCCACCCTGATCAATCACCCCCGACTCCCAACCCACTCAGGAGCCAGGCTGCAGAGCAAGGGTAGGGGAGAACACATAACTCGGCCCCTCAGCCCCAGTGGGACCAGGAACTATGGTCTGCACACCTCAATCCACAGCAACCATCAGGTGGGCACTGCCTGGCCTCAGCCGCCCCAATCAGGCGCTCATTAAACGCTGTCTGCAACTGCCATCCTGTGGTGTTCTGGAAAGAGAGCACAGCACAGTCTGCTACAGTGCACACTGTTACGGTCTGACTCATCCACAGATCTTCCTGATGACACTGGGAGTCAACCACATCTTCTGA